CTTCTCTTCCAATATCAATTGTCAGTGATCCATTTGTATTTTTGTCTGCGATATCACCTCGGTGGAAGCGGACGTAAAATACAACTTACTAACAACAACATTTGTATTTTTACAATTCAACCAACTTTATTCAGTTCGTTTGTCAATTGGTCGATTCATAAAAATAAAGGGCACATCCACAGATGTTTTTACTTCACACTTCTATCACTAAAATGGACAAGCCCGACAGCTCGTGCGTCTTTAATTAGATCAATGCGCTGTCACGTCCACATTATTTTGTACAAGGGGTATGGTCAGGCGATACGTTTCAAGTCAGTAGCTTGAAGCGTATATATGGTATTAGTGTCAGTGGCCTGTGGCACGAAGTAACAGTATATTGTCGCATACATAATATATTATGTCAACGCTTGGGCGATATAATATATTATGTCAACGCTTGGAACTAGGATGGAGGTGACTAGGCATGAACTTGCAACGATAGATTTAATTGGCGCTTTGATAATCAATGAATGCTTGTTTTTTTCTTTTCTGTTTTTTCTCTCTTTTCTGTGTCCTAACCCTAACCCTAACCCTAATCCGAAAGAAAAGTGCCCTTTTTTGAAATTCTGACATCACAGGTGCCCTTTTTCTGATAAGGATGCCCTCTTTTATTTACAGGGACACTTTCTATGGCTCTGATGACGCGTACATTCCACTGAGTCTACAGGTCTAATATGCTAACACGCTTGGAGCGTCAACACAATATATTATGTCGCCCAAGCGTTGACATAATATATTATGTATGCGACAATATACTGTTACTTCGTGCCACAAGCCACTGACACTAATACCATATATACGCTTCAAGCTACTGACTTGAAACGTGCAGGGTGGTATGGTTGCCTGTCTGACCTCTTGGGTATTCCCGGGTCCTCCGGTTCTTCTCCCACTGTTAAAGATATCAGCGTGCAAGCGAATTCTTGAAATACAGTTGCACGTTGTTAGCCCTAAATAACCTAGAGCATGGTTGTGAAAGACATTTTCTGGCGGTGACTTATTTTTTTTTTAAATCCATGTACGGTAACAAAATAGTTTGAAAATGGATACTACAATACGCCAATTAAATACATTTTGTTGTCCAATACGTTACAAAAAATGGATAATATTAAGCCAACCAATGTTCAGATTATACAGCAATGTTTTCTAAAACGTGAAAACATGTACTGCTATTTTTTCACATTAAAACTTTTTCAGTGTACACGTTCAACTTGACACAACACTAAAGTTGGTAAATTAAAATGTTTTAGATTAAATGTTTTATTGAATTCAACGTAGCGTGTATATCAACATCTAATATATTATAGACCCACGCAATTATCAATAAAAGTGAAAGGAAATCTACACTTTAGTCACCAATCTTAAGGTTTCCGCTTATTTCTAAATCATTGATAATACGGTCAGAATTTGAACTTTGAAGGGCCTATCTTCCTAAAAACTTCAAAAATAGACCAAGCTTTCAATCTTAGATCACAATTAATTCATGATAACGCATAGACAGTTTGGGGAAAAATATATAAACATTAGAATACATTTTTATTCGAAATCGACATGGCATATGAAATGAAATGAAGTGTGTTTTATCGTCCTACTATTCTGTTCTGACTGACATGGCATATGAATATTTTATAAGAATATTTATGTAAATGTGAAAAAGTGTGTTGTATGCAGAGAAATGTAATGAAACGGGGTTTAACGTCCTACTGTTCTGCTTCGACTGGGCTAATGAAGACGGTCAATACGGCATGCAGTGTGCTATGGGGATATTTTACGTGCACGCCAGTGTATACATGGAACCTTGATTTTTCATCCCATTCGAACGACTAACAGCTGTCTTTGCCAGGCCCTCCGTCATGCAACACTGACATGGGGAAACCACGTCGGAAATAGCCGAAGTCGAAATTTTATTCCCAGCGTGCACGTAGCAAAAAGAAGTAGGCTCTCCTGTCCAGCTTCGTGGAATTTCTCCTGGTCCCCTGGGTTCCCCCATTAACCCAAGACGCCTATATTATATATTAGTCCCGAAATGACCTAGTTTATGTCGAGTAGAAGTTAATTATTTAATTTGGCTTCTCGGACGTGTTTTTGTCGGTAAAGGAAATAAAAATTTACAAGTGTATGTCTACTTATATTTGATAAGATCGTGTAATTGTTCTTTACCTTTACCCCTTTCTAGGAATGATAGCATTATAAACAATACCACACGCTTTAGATCATAAGGCCCACCATTGAGTCGAGCGGCGTGGTTTCGATTCCCTGCGACAAAGAGTAGGGTTGTCTGTCCACGCGAATTCTTGAAATAAAATTGCTCTCTCGCGTCAGACCACAACAGCCCCAATTTTCTGTAGGAACCGGGCCAATATCTCCGTCGTGTAATCATAGATTATTTGAAATGAACATGACTTAAACTATCTTGTGATTTTATATTACTTTAAGCAAAAATATATTGTCTCCAATCTGTTTAAAACTGATCCTGTTTCGGTTCGTTTTTTCATAGTTCAAAATTTCGTATAAAACAAACGAAACGAAATATAGATGTGCATTTTAATCAGATTCCATCTTCTCGCTATAGTTTGAATATATTTATTTTAGTTTTATTATCAAGGGCTATGTATGTAGGATCTCGGTTGTAGAGGAAGTATATATTTGAAAACCTTTTGCCAAGACGGAATTTCTTGTTTGTCAAGTATTTTTCAAAATTTTGAAATAACTCAAGTGTTTGTAGACTTTTTCCGTTTTATAATAATGATGGTATTTGTGGTATTTATGGAATGAAGATGTTTACTACTACTAAATAATTTCTTCTATTTAATTTCTACTTAACCACTTAAATATAAACAATATTTCCCCCGTTACAGTTTTAACTGTACATCAATAAATATGTATTAATATCTATGACTATGCTTCTCAAATATGTTTGCATATTGTAAGAACACTACGACTTTCGAGGGTAAATCATCGATTTTATGGAAATCTGTAACAGAAATTAAAAAGAGAGAGAGAGAGAGATTATATTTCCATAATTCGGTTGTGTCCAAGGATCTTTAGCATTGGGAGGAAACCCATGAGTTTAAACATGCCACTTGCCTCGATGACAGACCTTCTGATCTAAAGCACATGTGTTAAACCAGTCGGTAGCCCCCCCCCCCCCCGGGATTTGAACTAAGAATATTTTACAAGCGTATTATACGCAGAGAAAACTACAGTTAACCTGTTTTTAAACTGACATTGTTCAGGAAGGTCGTGTGAGTCAGAAAGGAATTTGAAATTTGGTTGATATTTGGTAACTCTTTGCTGATGTACAAAGTCGACATACGATGCTGTCGCACATGCGCACAGATTAACTTCCGAGGCGACAAGTCGCCGCACGACAAGTCGAAATAATTGTATTTCGTCGACTTGTCGACTTGTCGCCTTGTCGGGTTGTGAATAAGTCGAAGGCGACAAGTCGACAAGTCGACAAAATCAACCCGCCGACACGACAAAATAACCCGACGATCGTCGCCTTCATTTTGTCGTGTCGGCGGGTTGAATTCGTCGAATTGGGTGCCCCCCCCCCCCCAACACCCCCTCCCCCAATGGGAGGGTGACCCTCCCACACTCTCCCTATATAATTTCATTTGCGGAATCCCCCCCCCCCCCAATATATATTTCACGGCTATGACTCCGCCAGGAAAGATTAAATATAATCACGGAACCCAGTTTGAATAACCACATTTATACAATACTAACATATTCAATAACCACATTTATACAATACTAACATATTCAATAACCACATATTTTATACAATACTAACATATTCAATATAAACATTTATACAATCCTGACATATTCAATATAAACATTTATACATAACTAATATAATATTTAATAACCACATGCATACAAAACTAACATATTCAATATAAACATTTATACATAACTAATATAATATTTAATAACCATATGCATACAAATCTAACATATTTAATAACCACATGCATACAAAACAAACATATTCAATAACCACATGCATACAAAATTAAGATTTTCAATAATGAAATGAAATTGAAATGGAGTTTTAAACACCAAGAAAGCGCAACGCTGTGTGCTACGAGGGAAAATTTGCTCGGACAGGGGCGTTTCCGTTTATTCTTCATTCTTCAAGGGTTCTTTTATGACTTTGGTAATTTGAGACCAGTCTGGTTAATCACTGGGATTGAACTACAAAGGAAAATTAAAATACATACCATTCAATATAATGTTTAAAATTTTAGCCACTCTGTTAATGATAGGAGTCGTGGTGGTTCGGTGAGTAAGAGACTCGCTAACCACAGGGGATCTCGGGTTTGCTCCCGGTGTACACAGAGAAAGTTCCTCGGGAGTTTCCAGAGTGGTTTCCCCTTGTTCGTGGTGCAGCGCAGACAGTCTGGCAAGGGTAGTGTCTAGTCGTTCGGGTGGGACGAAAGACATGCACGTAAAAGAATCCTTGATACTTGGAACTCGAAATAAGAGTAGGTCTGAGCTCCGCCGTCTAGGCAAAATGTCCCCCGTGCTCGTCTTGTTTAACCCAGTCGGTGCAGGGAAGTAGAACAACATTCCCCAGCTTATTTCATCTCTGTTAATATTATTCTAAAATAAAAGGTATTCCCACACTAATAACTGGAGTTAATTGTTTTTGACTCTCGTATAAAACTGTTGGTAAATTTACATGTAATAAAATGCCAGATAGACCCAAAGTAAAACAAATCACTTTGATTATCACATGATTTGATCCACATTGTTACGTTAGGTTATGTGTTTCGATAAGACATTTCAATAAGTTAATCATTTATAAAAGTTTTAACAAACATTGATTCCGGTTGGTATCAGATTCTACTGAGTTTAATACACAGGCGATATAAAAATCAGTCACAGGTCGAGCTTTGGCAACCGGACATCCGGGGTGTTATTTTCGAGTCGAGTGGTCGCCAAACCTTCTACGATAATACTCGCCTGACGTGATTATAGACGGAGTCCATCGGTGATGCGGATGAGACAAAAAGGGATTTTATGTGAAGGATAGTAAATTTCTAAAGGATTATATACATTCCAAGATTAGGGGATAATCCTTCAATATGAGATTAAATGGATATAGTGCAGTACTGAATGTATTGCTCTTTTTCTTATTTCAACAAGCGGTTGGTGCTAAAAGTAAGTATAACACTTTTTTTTTATAATATTCTAGTTAGTTTTGTGTGCAGTGTTGGTTGCTGAGCGGAGCGATCACCCAAGGCTAAAAAATCTGAGTGGTGCCAAAGTCAATAATTTGTTACATTACATTTTCACCTCGCTTCTCACAGAATCCTTAATATATTGTCTCTGGTTGTCTTTCATCCACAACTTTACCGTCTAAGGCGATTAGGGTGACAGACAGCTAAAGCAGATTAGCCGACTAGTGAAAACCGAACGTCGCTATAAAGGCAGCTGGGCGCGGTAAGAGTTATTGAGGCGTTTCCTCTGAAAATATTTTAGGTTTCTTGGCGATTTTATTACAAGAGTTGCTTAAAATTGGATTCATTGCAAAATTAAAGGATGGGGGAGGGGAGGCTGAAGACAGTGGAAAGAACATATTTATTTCGTACTTTTGACCGAATGTATTTGCCTCACGTATTGGTTTAAAGGCTCAATACAACTCTTGTTGTAACTGAATAATATGTCCCAATCTTTATTCTGGTCAACAAATTGTACTATTTTACAATATTTCAATTAATTGATGATACAAATTTCATCTTAACACACCTAATTTAAAAAATTGGAAAAATTCAACTAAATGATTTGAAAAGCCTGACGTAAAGCTTTTCAAATGTGACTTGAATTTAAAAATATTTTTGAACCCTTTGGACAAGTAAAATAGGATTTAATGGATAATTTACACAACAGGTATAGGACACTAACACATCTAGTACTTAGAATAAGGCTATTTTTTATTTTCTGGGGCTGTCAAGCCAGCAAGAGTGTTATTGTCCCTTTAAAAGAAGACGTGGTAGAGGAGTAAGAGGAGATAACTCAATCCTCTGTTTACATCATTAATGAACTCTCTCAACAAAGACGCATAATACTGTATAAGAGCTAAATATGCCCGTTTCAGGTCTTTATGTTGGCTTGAAAAGTTATATAAGACATTTATTCTTATGACAATCCTATGGTGGAGATTTAAACGGGTTAAAATACGGTTACCATTTAATGGTTTAATTTAAAAATGGCGAAGCGACGCAAAGTCTTGCATAACAGGGAAGAGACAATTTCAGCGGCTTGCAATTTGCAATTTACTCATACAACAATATAACAGCATAATTAATTGAGGCCACCGCTGCGCAAGATGTAACAAATATAGTTGAGTAAAAAAAATGAAATGCAATCAAATGAAAAGAAATTGGGTTTAACGTCCTACTTTTCTAAACCGACGGAGCTAATAAAGACGGGCATACACCACACAATTTGCTATGAGGGAACGTTTGTCCGGACAGCGGCGATACGGCCTACTCTTTTTCGAATTCCAATTTTCAAGCTTTCTTTTACGTGCACGCCATTATGTACTTGTGCGAACTTAGTTTAAACACTGCAGTAGGAAAACGTTAATCCTTTGATTGTTTATGAATTTAAAGGAGCTAGATCGCTATTCTTTGGTACTTAGAAATGGACACAAATGGATCGCAACACATATAATAATGTATTAATTTACATACAATCGTTTCTATTTTTACTGTAATTTCTAATCAGTTATGTTCGGCGAAATAGGCGGAAATTTCCCGATTGAATGGCAGTCTTTGGCGTCTGGTTATGCCAGTCTACACCGGTAGTATTCCCCGGTGTGGTTGTGGGGTATATTTAGCCTCGTTCATCGAGTCGCTTCATTACAAATTCCTGTGCCAATTTTAAAATCTACATTTTGCCTTAAATATTGGATATCAGAAGCCCATCTTTTCACGGTAAGAAACAACATCAATGTTAATTTAAATTGATTAATAAGTCGTGTTTGCAATGTCCAAGACTGTGGGTGATACCGAGTTAGCGACTTGCGTCCTTTAATGATGTAGAAGACAGCACATTTTATCCCACTGTTGTCCTTTAAAGTAACGATGCGTCATTTGCATTTTTCGCTGAAATATCAAATTTCCAACAGCTTGAATACATAAACAGAATGCCTACGCTAGATAACCCTCCAGACTGCATTCAATAGAATCTTTTTTTTTAAAAAAAAAAGCCTATCTTCTCTGTTCGCCCAAAACAAAATGGCAGCGGGCTTATTACGCAGCTAGCAGAAAAAGATAAAATTTTAAAGTCAACTTAACTTTGTCAGTACTGAACGGAATTGAACAATTTTTGGACCGATACCCCAATATTGTAGTTTGCACGTGATTCTTATTGCTTAAAAATGACGCATCGAAACTTTAACTATCTCATTGATAAACGAGTTCACCAATCAACTTAATGTCCATGTAAATTTTAATAGCCCATTTTCAGGGGGCAATTTGATTCATTATATTAATTCCGGTTTGTCGAGTACTTCCGGTCACACCCGGGTTTTGCGATACTAGTAAATCTGCCTATCAATGATTATCTAGTGTCATCAATGAGATTGTTTTAATGTGCGCAGAAAGATATGCGGGGTTTAACATGTCATGAATTTACTCTTTTTTAATATTGAAACTAGACCACCCCTTTTAAGATCCTAAAATGACTTGACATTTCGTTTAATTCTGCTTTTTGTCAATTTAAAGACCGAACGTTCCACGCCATTTCACTTTGAATATTATAATACAGCATTATGCTGACGAATATGGACGAATAGTGCACGAACAACTGATTTACTTAAAAACTCCATCCCTTTAAAGGCTTTATATTTCAAATTCTGCTTTTGTAAATTGAAGGACAGAAATGCCCACTCCACTCTAGTACTGCGTAATCTTAATAAAGACTAATTAGCCAACAATACTAGTGTACTACCAACTTTTTAAAAATAAACCCCGGAAACTCTTACTACGCATTACATTATGTAATTACACTAACTTCACTTAGATGAGAATGGTTTTCTCTTATAAACAAATATATAGGGAGAAATGGGGCTTAACGTCTACTCGATACAAACTAGGTCATTTCGGGACTAACATATGGTTCAATTTTATTTCAATAATTCGCTTGTGCGTAGGGGTCTTTTGCAGTGGGAGGAAACCGGAGCACCCGGAAAAAAACTACGAGGTTGGACCGTCGACCCTTCTCTTTGTCAATGACAGACCTTATGACCTAAAGCGCACGCGTTAGATTATTTGGCCCATCATCACCCTACCCCACCACCCGTAAACAAATAGAAGAAAACTTGTTTTGAGAAGACTCCTAATGACAAAATGAAATGAAATGAAATGGGGTTTAGCGTCCTATTGTTCTGCTCGGAACTGGACTACGCCATACAGTGTGCTATGAGGGAAATTTTGCCCGGACAGCGGCGCTACGGCCTACTCTTATATCGAATTCCAACTGCCAAGGGATCTTTTACGTGCATGCCAATGTGTTCACGGGACCTCGGTTTTTCGTCCCATCCGAACGACTAGACAGCCGTACTTGTCAGGCCCTCCGTCCTGCATCACTGACAATGGGGAACCACGCTCCTAATATGACAAACGTGCTAATGGATAACCTTATTGGTGCCAAATGATAACTATAAATAATTCTCCCGTTTTCCATGTGTGCGTTTCGGCCGGCGAAAAAAGTAGGTATAATGCAAATGTAATGGGAATGTTTCCATGAGCGACTTTCTGTACATATATAAATACATAAAATCACTCGCGGAAACGCATCTTTTATCCACTAGCGGAACTAAGTATCTTTATATTTTTAGATTGTGATCGACCTAGAATAGCAAATGGTCGGGCTAAAGTACGGGCTAGAGGCAAGATGGTGTATTACAGATGTAGAAAAAAGTTTACAAGAGTTGGTGCCAAGTTTGCCGTTTGTTTATCTCAAGGAGTTTGGAGTCAACCACCACCCATATGTATAGGTAAGATACTCATGAGAGAGAGAGAGAGAGAGAGAGAGGGGCAAGCGACACTACTCTATTTCACATTATCAGTCCTACAAGCAGATAATCGAAACCACATCACTTGACTCAATGGTGGGCTTTATAAACTGGTACTGTAGATTGTTTTACTATGTTATAAATCAGACAAACCATTGATTTTGGGAAGATATGATTTTAGAATTATTAATATTTTTTTAATTGTATCAACTCTTTCTTTGTATTTTGAACAGGTAAAGGTTGTCCTAATGTAACGCCTACCGACGGTCTTCAGATAATAGGTGAATACAACGGCGCCATGTTGAAATTTACCTGTCCAGCGGGAATGAAACGTAAAGGACCAGAATCAATTTATTGTAATGGACAAACGTGGAATGTACAACCACCCACTTGTGTCGGTAAATACAACTTTAGCATTTTTACTATATACCGGGATTCAAGCACCCCGAATGGCAGTAGGTTCAAACCACGGCTAAAGGGCTCTCAACATGGCCCATTCTTCCGTAACTTGTAGGGCTGGTACAGGTTACATGTAAAAGAAGAAATACGATGTAAAACTTTACGGTTCATTTTCATATCCATCCAGGCCCGTAACTAGATATACATTGTCCGTCAATATTACAGCACCCCTGAGAACACTTCCAGCCCACTTGTTGCTCTGAGCTAGTTACGGCCCTGTATCCATCTTTATTCAGTGCCTGGAGCCACGAGTAACAACAGAAGAGACATGACAATCTTGACTAACATGGGAGGTTACTACAACAATAGACTATGGTCATCAGACCAATAAATATTCCTACCGCTCTAGTATTTAAAAGGGAGAGAGAGAGAGAGAAATGGGGTTTAACGTCCACTCGACACAAAGTAGGTCATTTCGGGACTAACATATGGTTTAATTTTATTTCAATAATTCGCTTGCGCGTAGGGGCCTTTAGCAGTGGGAGGTTGGACAGGCGACCCTACTCCTTGTCACGTACAACCGGGAATTCGAAACCACGCCAGTTGACTCAATGACAGACTTTATGATACAGTGCGCGCGTGCTAACCATTCAACCATCCAACCCCCCGTATTTAAAAGGGGAGCGAACCATAACAATAAATGTAAACCAGAACTAAACTATACAAGGCGTGTCGGCTTGACATCGCTACAATAGTAAATTGCGGAGATAGCAGAAGGTTATCTTAGCAGTAGCTTCAGTAGCTCGACATGGTAAAGATAAACTTAAGTCTAGCGGTTTGACTAGGCACTGTTTTCGCTTGCTACCGTATTGTAGGGGGTTTTTTTGTTAGAAAAGGCATGGTAATTTTGCAAATATAATGGTACGCCTACATAATGTACTGAAAAATAACAAGTCAGACTCAGTCAGGAACAACCCCGTGGTTTCTAGAGAGCTTCGGCAAGCTGCGGTCATGAACGGGTGATTCTGATCATGATTGATTCTGTTCATGAACGGTTGAACATGATAAGTCAGGTTTTTTTTAAAATTAGATCTATATGAAAACTGATAAATAACTGATGTACAAGGAACCGCGCTAAAACGGATACCGTGTCAAACCGGGACACGGGGTAAAATGTTCTTTAAAATTGTCAGTTGAAATGAAATTGGAAATAGATGAAACGATAATTCCGGTACCTAAAATATTCTTTCTGAATGTGGGATGGAATTACTGAAAACTACATTTGCCTTTTATAACGCATAGTCATTACATCACTCATAACCATTGGCATAAGTGTCCAAAATATAAGCGCAATCTTGATTTAGATAAGATTGGATTGACGCTGTTTTTAACTTTTCATTCAATGATTCGAAAGCTTCATACTACTTTTCATATGTTGCATGTCTGCTGAATACTGGAGATTTTGTCGTATACATATATATATATATATATATATGCTTTAATTTCAGTGGGTATAAGTTTAGAATGTGATTTTGAAGATGAAGAGTTATGCGGATGGGGTCAATCGGATGATGATCATTTTGAATGGACCTGGCTTTCAGGTGCTACACCAACTGTGAACACTGGACCTTCACATGATCATACTTTTGGTAACAATTCAAAAGGTAAACTGCCATGGTAATATTTTAATGTTACCTTGAACTTCACGGTATATATGATATTGGGATATGGGATAATGACTTGTTTCAAATTATCTATATTCATATCCAATGTTGCGCATTGTAGTGAATTATGATAAAGCGAATTTTAATGTTACCTTGAAATTCACGGTATATATGATATTTGGATCTGGTATAATGCCTTGTTTTTAATTATCTATATTTATATTCAGGGTTGCGTATTGTGACGGATTATCGGAAAGCGAATGTGGGAATGCTTTAGGGGTTGTAACAAAATATAATGCGGAATACCAGAGTCTGAAATTTACGGACCGTTTCGGGACGTTGTTGGCGTTACAGAAAATAGAAGCAGGACTATAAGACTAAATGCATATAAAATGAAATGGGGTTTATTACTATCCTGCACCAGCTGGGCTAATGAAGACAGCCATACACCATACGGTGTGCTAAGAAAGAAATTTTGCCTTGACACCGGCGTTACGGCCTACTAATATTTCAAATTCCCACTGTCAAGGTTTCTTTTACATGCAAGCCAACGTATACACGGGACCTCGGTTTTTCGTCCCATCCGAACGACTAAGAATGTTAAAAAAGAAGACAAACAAAGGGTAAAAATTAAATAGGCGAGACGTGAAGATATATTTAAGATACATCTGAACAAAACAAAGTACAGATTTGATCCCGATGATGACCAAGAAAGTTCCCCGGGATTTTCCGACCTGGTTTCCCCTTTTTCACTTTACATTGTACTAGTGTTCCTCTTGTTGGTGATGCAGGCCTGGCAGGGACCACTGCATTGCATGTCAACTGGAATTCGATAAAAGAATACATGAGTCTTCATTAGACCAGTTGGTCCAGAAAAGTAAGACTTTATTCCCATTTTATTTCTTAATAGAAGTATGAAGTAAAAAACACCAGTGGAAGTGTCTTCTACTTTGATTAGCCGGAAAACGAAAACTGATAATGTTTAAGCTACACGACATGGCGTACTTCCTCTTATCGTCACAAGCCTAGTTTGTACACAAAAGTAGGACGTTAAACCCCAAACATTTTCATTGGTATTTTGTAGATGTAGCAATATCTCTCAATTGTATTCCAGGTCATTATCTGTTTATTGAGTCATCAGCACCAAGAAAACCTTTTGATAAAGCCATACTAAATTCACCTCTCTATCAGGCAAAATACAGTAATAGCTGCTTTGAATTTTGGTATCATATGCAAGGCCCAGATGATGAAAATGGTAAGTATCTTACTTAAACAGGCAAACAATATTTAACAGATCATAGTGTGCCTGTGAACATTTTCTAATTGGTCCTTTTCGCTATGTGCATTTCTTTGGGGAATTTTTGGAAAAAGAACTGGTCCCCAACGCCTACTCATTTTGTTGTTCTTGGGGGCGACGTTCTTTAAAAACAATCATATGGCTCAGCCAATTCATGTATGATCGAGATGCAACTCGACATGCTTGTTCCTTGGTCAATTGCGCTTCGATTGGCATACTTTGAATTCCAAGAAGGTGGCATACTCAAGACCTGGTCCATAGTACTTGGGTTTTTAATTTAAGCTTTAATGCCCCGATCGCTGCCAGGGAAGATGTTTTCATGAATGTCTAGGTAACTGTAAATTTGTATCCTTATGGTACAATACTTTATGATTATTTTAGCTGTTGGAAGTTTGGAAGTTTTTGTTAAACCAGAAAGTAAAATACTAGATGATATAGATCCGGAATTTTATATGGATGGTAATCAAGGTCCGGAATGGAAGCGGGGTTCAATAACAATAGAGCAACAAACAGAAGTATTCCAGGTATGAAGAGCGCATGAGGCAGGAGTTGTACGCCCAGCATGTTAAAGGATAGCTTTACGTTCTGAAGGGCAGTGATTGGTTCTTTTTGTTAATAATCAATAAATCTCATTGTAGAGTGGCTGACGGGCGGACGAACAGGGGTAGATCTTTGATTTCTTAAATAGTAGCTTCTGTGCACTCTTCAGTTACATGGCCAAAGGAAGCAATTCTTGATTGGGAGGGGAGGGGGCTACTATCCTACGTCTTTAGGTCAACAAAATAGAGCAACAAACAGAAGTATTCCAGGTATGAACAGCGCATGAGACAGCATGTTACAGGATAGCTTTACGTTCTGAAGGGTAGTGATTGGGGTTTTTGGTTAATAATCAATAATCCAGCTTTGTAGAGTTGCTGACCCACGGATAAACAGGGGTGGCGACAACACACTGCTTAGGGTGGATCTTTATATGTGAACACGTAACTTTACAGTTACTTCCATGTTCTATGAAAACACACAATGCCTTCCGCTATGTTTATTAATGCTTTGATTAACTGGTGATAATTTAATATTTCAGATCATTATAATCGCAACCCGTAAAGAAGCGTTTGTCAGTGATATCGGCCTTGATGATGTCAGAATGTACAACTGCTCAGAAGGTAGATTACTTTATTAAATTAATTAGAGCTGTCCCCATGATCATCATCATCTCGCAACGAATAACAAAATCAATCATTTACATTAGTAAAAAGTAATTTCAGTAACAAAGGTGATTTCAAAATATATTTTTGAATGTATAATCATTCATTTACGTTGTTACTATAATTAACAGTAAAAGATAATATCAGTTGATCTCAAATTACGTTACATACCACTATTCTGTTGTCATTGGTTGTGACTTGCATTGTTTTAACAGCTAAATCCACAACTAAGAAGCATTGCAATCCTTTATAATGTAGATTATCAATGGAATATATTATCAGTTTTGTACATATTATTATGTTTATTGCCATAGTATTGATATCTTCCTTCGATATTATTGTCTGGTATAACTCAAAACATGTAGATATAAAGGGAAGTTACTCTTGATATCGTCACAATGCAAGTTATTATTCTAGTGGATTGTGATTGATATTGGGACTAATTTCGAAAGATTGCAGTGCTTCTTGCAGGGGCGGATCCAGAAGGGGGATTTGGGGGGTCCCCTCACCTGCTCAGCCACATAAATTTTTTAGTAAAACAACCTTTTTTATGAGAAAAGTGTCATAATTGTGCTTTATCCTTTATCGTCAGATGGTGCAACAGGATGGGCACTCAAAGTGCGAGATAATGATATAGACATATGCGAAATCACAATTAATGCTTTGCATCAATAAAACTGAATCACAATGTCATCGTATTAATTCATAATAAAAATTGACATCAAACAGGGTGTTGTATTTCTCTGTTTAAAAAGCTCAATGTGTATGTATTTCTCAAAAGATTTAAAGCCGAGGGGGGTGGGGAGATACATTGTCTCGGGAATCTGGGAAACACCCTCCTGCAAAAATTCCTGGATCTGCCCCTGTTTTGGCGATATCATCACAAGGTGACAGCAAAACTCTTACATGTTTTAAATCTCAATTAAAAACTTGCTTGTTGAAACAATCTTATGTTGACTAAATTTTTGAACAGGCATGTATATAGTCCTATTGCTCTTAAAAGCGCTTTGGGCATGCTTATGGATGGGTTTGGCGCTAAAGAAATGGACATTTATTATTATTATTATATTATTAAGGCAAGTCGGTGTTCTAATGAATGATGGGTATTATTGGGAGCGCGAATGTCATGCTTTTTAGCTGTTTTTATTTTAAACGATTATTTTAAACGATTAGATATCTTATATTTGACACTAATTTTGTACGAAACATTTTTGTCACCATAGACGGACCCTGTGACATTTATTTGCAATTTGTTTATGTATATTTTACAGATGACAATGAATTTTTAACAACTGATGAAGTAACTTCAGAAGCAGTACCAACAACTATTACTACAACCACGTCAAAAATAATCACCCAAAAAACAAGCATTCGTACGCCCACTTTTAAACAATCTACCGCAACGACTACTGTAACAAAACCAAAAACAACACAGCCGAAGACTAAACCCACTAAAGCAACATTGCCCACAACAACTACTGCATTACCCAAAACTACCACTACTGTATTACCCACCACAACTACCACTTTGCCTACGACGGTTACTACAATGCCTACTACTACTACATTGCCTACTACCACTACTTCTACTACTACTACTACATTGCCTACAACGACTACAACAATAACCACAAAAACAACCCGTAGAAGCACTACCACGCCGAAACCGAAAACAAGAAAGCGAACTACCACTCAAGGTAAAACAACCAAAACCAGATCAACAACTGCGAAAACTTCAACAAAGCAACCAGAAACACCAATGACGTCCGACAGTCAAACAACAGTACCATCGACACTTTCCACTAACACAATTTCCAAATCAACCTTAATGTCAAACGGCCTTTCAAATACACCCACAACATTAAAGCTGGCGATGTATACAACAACAACTATATCAACTGCAAAAGACAAACCGACATTTACAAACAATTCGTTCACAGGAAATTCACAAGATTTGCCAGAAACGGGTTCAGGAAACATTGAAGGTGTTGTTGGTGGTGATAATAACATGTCATCAACAAGTAATAGGTCGCTTAACATTCCACCTGGGTCTCCTATAAAAGAGAAAACTAAAGATGGTTTGATGCCTCTTATAATAGGAATATCATGTGGTGTAGTTTTAGGACTTGTAGTTATTGGTGTAGCAGTCTATTTATGGGCAAAACGACAGCAAAATAAAACAACAGAGGAATCGGAGGAAGAAATGGCACCAATTGCCTGTGCTGAAGGGGGATATTACAACCCTAGCTAAAATGTTATATCCGTCTTCACATTTCGGGTTACTTTAGAACAGTGGTGCAAGTTCAAAATCTAAAGGCTGAAAGTAAACCTCCTCGCTGAAGGTATTGATACAACCGCTGAGCTTTCAAAGTGTATGTTCAAAAAGTTGAGTTAAAATTTAAGCTGAAACTTCCTGTGCTTGTGATGATAATCAACTACGCAATCGTATATTTCACAACGAAGAATCTTGTCTTCCGTTTAAAGATTAACATTGTGATAGTGGGAATACAAACAATCGGTGCTTATATTTCATATTGAAATTAGCATTACAATGCCAATATATTTATTTTACTAGTGGATATTACATGTTTTGCTTCATAGATGTGTTCTTATGGCGCTTGTGTAACCTGTAACTAGCCCTTAATTGATAGAACAGTAGTTCGGCATCTAAGAGTGCTGTACTAAATCGGAAATATTGTGTTTACTACTTAAAGAATTGCCGAAGGAAACACATTTTGGCTGGCTACACTTCCAGCCCCCCCCCCCCTATCAAAATGAATGTCAATCCGATATGTTTACATGCAATTAAAGACTAATTTTTGTGATAAAAATCTTATGCCCATAACTAATTTATAACATTAGCATTTACGCCCATGATTGACCCACATGAACTCACCCTGTCATTGCACTCATCACAAATATCTAATGATTAACCAATCATATTAACTGGATTATCACATAATTCACTTATTATATATTATCTATTGTTTACACAGGTGACAACATAATATCGTTTATCACAGTTTGCATAAGTATAGATTTCATTTAATTCATTCAATATGCTAAAATGTTTTTTGATGTTAGAATCAGTTCACATACTTTGTTACGCCTATGTATATAAATGTAGATTTTTTAAATTCAAATGCACATTATTTATAATCATGGTGGGGTTGTTTATACGCTCCCACTGGTGTGCGCATATAATGTCGTCACGTGTGTCTGCCGGTTGTTGGCCCGCCGATCCTTCCTCCTAAATTTCGTTTTTTGTAAAGTCTTTCGGCCAATGCATACATTTCTTTTTCATTTTGACATGATTTAACTGCACAGTTACATCGCGAGTGTTCAAATTCGATTTATGTTAATTTGAAAGCAACTATGTTGAGCCATCTATGAGATATAAACGTTATTATAACTCTCAAGTTAAAATCATACAATATTTTACTCTTAGTAGTCTGTCATAGTTAAAAGGATAAGCCATTGCCTTTTAAAGATACCGTCCCGCGTACATACTAAAAACATATTCAAACTAATTAATCGATCAAAATTTTGCTTCGAATTCTTCTCAAAACATTGTATTGGTGATAGAATACCCTTTCTATAAAAAAATATATTAAAAGACGCCATGTTTGGCTTGGCTGACGAGGTACCTAGCAACGGGTGCGAAGCCGTATGAGAATTCATTGCACATACAAGACGATGTTGTCTTTAATTGCTGTCCATTTATCATAAATATCGAAGCTTACTTAATTCTCGGATTTTCCACTGCCCACATCTTTTACCGTGGTTTTTATCTCAGAAACTGTTGTACGTTTAAGCTTAACATCAAGTTGATCAACATATCAATCTTTGACGTCACTCGAGCGGGCATCCCTAATCGTCGGGTTGCCGGTTAGGGAAACCCTGTATGCACCACATGGGTGTTTTTCAGGTAATCCAGTACTTTTCTATTAAGATTGGATGTTTCTACTTTCCATATATATACCAAAATTGCCATACTTTTCTTGGAAATAACCACCAGATAAATACTTTTGTGGGAAAGTATCTTTAAACATCTGTTTGGTAGCGTCCTTGACATTGTGTTTATTAGGTCCCCCGTCCTCATTAGCCTAGTCGGTGCAGAACAGTGGGAGGTTAAACCCCATTTCAGTTTGTTAGGTCGTAAGGAAAATGCTAGATATCGAATTGGCTTCTCGTTTAGAATCTTCAAAATTGTTTGACACTTGGTGGATTATATAGGAAGACCATTGTAAAGCTGATCGGAATTCACAACCTCACGCGCACATATGAAATGCTTTAAGATTTAGTGGTATTGTCCTCTGAAAACTTATGAACACGATACAGGACAAGTGGATTGACCATTAACTCTTTATATTTAAAATCGTCCCAAGTCGTGTATACTCATAGGCAGGACGCCGGAACGGTGGGGCTATGGGTACAAATGTCTCCCTGTCAATAACAGAACGGTGCAATTGCGCCGCTGGCCCTACAGTTTTACCAGTTGTCGTTTAAAATGTATTTCAGCACTATATCAGGGCCGAGATGGTTCAGGCGATCACTTATTTAGATGGAACCTAGAACAATATAGTTATATAGCACTATATCAGTTACATTCCGATTTGATGAGGTTTACAAGTAAACCGGTCATAAGACGTTAGTATTCGTCGTTTTCTGCAAAAGCAAGACGGGAGAGAACACACACGCCCCTCCCATTACCCCATGTCCGGCGGACGTTGCTATTTAGACCGTGGATTTATATTATAACTGCTTAAAGTTGAAACTTTTAAGGATGCTTCACATTTATAGAAGATTTTAAAGAAAACACATTTCTTATTTTATGTAATTAGCACATATTATTTATCAGTATATGTAATGGAACAGATTTATTCATACAGTTTCTTTTTGTATATGACTGGTAATCGATTTTTAAAAATGTTATGTATATTTCATTAAAACTGAAATGTTTAAACCGGACTTGTATATTTTTGGTATGGGTCCACAAAACGCGGGGCATCATGTACAGTACTCTAATTAATAGATTGTTATTTCATTTCCGGGAGCCACGGTGGCTAAGTGAGTAAAAATCTGGCTCGTTAGTCTGGACTTCGCGGGTTCGCCCCCGGTGTTGGCCGAGAAAGTTCATCGAGTGTTTCCGGCATGGTTTTCCCTTGTCAGTGATGCATGACGGAGGGCCTGACAACGACAACTATCTAGCCGTTGGGATGGGACAAAAAAGGAAGTCCCGTGTACACATTGACGTGCACGTAAAAGACCCCCTGACATGGAATTCTATATAAGAGTAGGCCGTAGCGCCGCATTCCAGGCAATATTTCCCTCGTAGCATACTGCATGGCGGTGCGGTCGTGCGGGATTCGATTCCTCGAAAGTTCCCCGGGATTTTCCAGCATGGTTTCCCCCATACTCGTCGTTTGATTATACCTAATCCCACTTAACACTGCTGTAAAGGAAGCAAATTTCTGTTCCAAATTATGACTGGTCAACAACCAGTAGCTAACTGCGTAACAATATCATTACGCTTTAAACAGAGCTCCAAAATTGGACCAAATATGTTTACATAACGTTACGTCATGACTCACGATTTTATTATGCCCAATTAAGCAGTGCATAGCAGACTATTGCGTGACAAACCAGGCTACCAAAATGAATACAATATAAACAATACTGTTAGGAGACGAACAATACTTTCACCGTTTTTAATACCTTAAATCACTGTCCAAAGTTTTAGGGAAGACCCCAGATTAAACGAAGGGCTGTCATGTTGCTGTACTTGGGGTAGATTTGATTGAAAGGGAAGAATAGATACACTCCCTCAAAAGCTCAAGTATCAGAGTCTAGTAATCCAGATTATTTATAACTACTAAATCATTTCCACATTCGCTTTCCCATAATTCACCACAATATGCAACCCTGTATATACATGTAAATTATTTTTAAGCAAGATAATCACGTGATCTGGAATGGAACACAAAAAATAATCAGCTGTTATGTTATAAAACATGAAACAAACCGTTATTATATAAATGTAGGCTAATCAGATTGTAGATTTCCTAGATAATCCATTTATGTTGCATGGACGTCCTCAATTTATGATATATCCCCCCCCCCCAAATACTGTGTCATTGTGGGTAAAAATATTGAATAGACGTCCTCAATTTATGACATATCCCTCCCCCCCACCTTCCCACATCCCCAAATACTTGATAACTGTGTCTTTGTGGGTAAAAATATTGAATAGAGAACGACATTGAACTGTGGGCCCGGTGTGGTTCTCCCTTGTCAGTGATGCAGGACGGAGGGGCTGACAAGGAAAGCTGTCTAGTCGTTCGGATGGGACGAAAATCCGAGGTCCCGTGTACACATTGGCGTGCACGTAAAAGATCCCTTGGCAGTTGGAATTCGATATAAGAGTAGGCCGTAGTACCGCTGTCCGGGCAAAATTTCCCTCATAGCACACTGTATGGCGTATGCCCGTCTTCATTAGCCCAGGTTAGGAGCAGAGCAGTAGGACGTTCAACTCCACTTCATTTCATTTCATTTGAACTGTGGGCATTAATTCCTTATCATAGAGCAGCTTAATCTGCAGTTATTTCCCTTTATGTAAGCCTCCAAGCGGGTTTGATAGTTTAGTTCCACCAATATACTCGTCTGTAACATCCACTCGACACAAACTAGGTCATTTCGGGAGTAACATAATATGGTTCAATTTTATTTCAATAAAATTATTTCAATAATTCGCTTGCGGGTAGGGATCTTTAGCAGTTCAAAATTTCGTATAAAAAAACGTATAGATGTGCATTTTAATCAGATTCCATCTTCTCGCTATAGTTTGAATATATTTATTTTAGTTTTATTATCAATGGCTATGTATGTAGGATCTCGGCTGTAGAGGAAGTATATATTTGAAAACCTTTTGCCAAGACGGAATTTGTTGTTTATCAAGTATTTTTCAAAATTTTGAAATAAGTTAATTGCATGTAGACTTTTTTCCGTTTTATAATAATGATGGTTTTTGTGATATTACTACTTGTTTACCCGGACATAAATATTTTTTTTCTATGTAGTTCCTCTTATATAATTAAGTAGATATATAACCACTTTTAAATATAAACAATCTATTCCCCGTTTACAGTTTTAACTGTATTATTAAAATATATTTGGTACTGTATGATACATGTACATCAATAAAAATATGTATTTTAATAGAACTGTTATGGCTGATGATTTCTATTTCAGCCGTTATAGTATAGTATAACTTATACTCACAAGAAAATATATATATCACGTAATCCAGAACAGCTGTAAGAACAAGAACCTTTCAACAGGTTTTAATGACAAAACGAACATTTTAATAACCGCTTTTAAACAGCATAACATATTAAATAACCACATTTATACAAAACTAATATATTCAATGACCACATTCATACAATACTAGCATATTCAATATAAACATTTATTTTATGATCAGTAGTGGAATACCACGTTTTATCAGTGAAATAAAAGTGTTATTCCACTGGCTAGCAGTAGTCCAAGTTGTTTTTACCTAAAATGATTGTAAAATCATAAAATAAATAGAACATTTGTCGTTTTGTCGTGAATAACATATTTTATTTCATCTCTAAGCAAGAAAACGTTTATATTTTCACGAATGCGTAGCATTCGTGAAAATATAAGTTTTCTTGCTTTTCGATGAAATAAAATATGTTATTCACTATTTATCCTCTATTTATATAATACTAACATAATCAATAACCACATTTATACAATTGACGTATATAACGACTTTAATATAAAAAATAACACATTCCATAGCCACATGATTTCCACAAAACTAACATATTCAATAACCATATTTATATAAAAATAACACATTCAATAAGGAAATTTCATAAACTTTCATGGTCATGGTCATTTTTAATATCCAGATTTTGACAAAATTAAGACAGTCATAACGAAATAAAATTCAAATGGAGTTTAACGTCCTATCTTTATGCACCAACATGGCGCCAGGCAGTGTGCTTTGAAGAATTTATTTTTCTCAGACAGGGGCGTTTCCATCTATTCTTTGAAGGATTCTTTACAACTGATGAGACATATTTTACATTTCTAGCACCACTGGCAAGGGGAAACACAAGGCTGGAGAACCCTTGGGAGTACTGGGATCGAATGCAGGACCTCTGGGTTACTGATATGGCTTCCGTATTACGTAACGAAACTTCATTAACTACAAAGGGAAATTACAATACATAATATTCAATGTAAGGTTTAAAATTTTAGCAACTCTGTTAAATCTGTTAAAAAATGGGGAGCTGGCTCGCTAACTAGGAGGTCTCGTTGTTGGCAAAGAAAGTTTCTCGGAGGTTTTGGGAGTGGTTTCCCCCTTGTCAGTGATGCAGGGCGGAGGGGCGGGCAAGGACAGTGCTAATTCTTCGGATGTGACGAAATATCGAGGCACCGTGTACCCAATTTGTGCAGAAAAGTAGGACGTTAACACACCCTCTCGTAGAACACTGCTCGAAATGTAAGATAATCCCAATTCAAAACAAACCACTTTATCATATGCTTTGATCACCATTGTTATGTTATGTTATAAGTTTCGATAAGACATTTCAATAAGTTAATCTTTTATAAAAGTTTTAACAAGCAATGATTCGGTGTTTGTATTTCAATAAGTTAATCATTTATAAAAGTTTGTACAAGCATTGATTCGGGATGGTATCAGATTCTGTTGAGCTTAATACGCATGCGTTATAAGAATCAGCCACAGGTCGCTTTTTAGCAGCCGGACATCCGGGGTGTTATTTTCGAGTCGAGTGGCTGGCAAAACTTCTAGGATAATACTCGCCCGACGTGAGTATAGACGAAGTCCATCGGTGGTGGGATAATCCTTCAATATGAGATTAAATGGATATAGTGTTGTACTGAATGTATTGCTTATTTTCTTATTTCAACAGGCGGTTGGAGGCCAAAGTAAGTATAACACCTTTTTCTAAATTGTCTTACGCGGTGTTTGTTGACGAGTGGAGCCATCACCTGGGATTCAATAAGTGGCGACAGAGTCAATAATTTGCACTATTATATTTACACCTCGCTTGTCTAAGAGCCCCTTTCACGCATGTGTTTAACGCGTGCCTGCCCCACGATAGTAGAGGGTGTGCGGCCGGTGCGCCGCCCTTGGGCCCATAAGAATCTACGGTGCTCATGGCTGTAAATGATATGACTACTGTCTAATACTATACACAGAGAAAAAAATTAAGCACCCCTTGATATTTTCACATCGCCGAAAGGCAAAAACATGTTAGGTCCGCAATGACGCTAAACTACTCTGAAATTCAAATGTCATCTGATAGAACTACCATCTGGCAAGACAGAAACGCATGGAGCTGCAAATAAAAAAGGGCATTGGCATTGATATTGTCACATAAAAATGTTATAGTATCAAACTCAGTAATTGTGTATCCATAAAATTGTACCTTGTGTTAATATGCCAATCAAAGACTAGTGTACATGTTCAGTAAGAACAATCAGTACCTGGTGGACCCGCCACGTACCCGGATGACACACTCCACCCTACGTCTCATGACTCCAGACAGGTTTCGGATCTGTTCTCGGGTCAGCAACATCCACTCACCGTACAGAGTTGCCTCCAGGGGTTCCGTGCCTGGGTTCGGTGCCCTATAATGTCCCACACATGCTCCAGAGGGTTTAGATCTGGGCTTAATGCTGGCCAGGGTAGAGTTGTCACTGCGTTGGCCCTCATGTAATCCACTACGGCACTTGATCGGTGAGGCCTGGCGCTGTCATCCATGTACTGAGGTCGTGTAGCAAGTGGGTGGTGATCGAAATGAGAGACAACGACTGGCTGTAGGACGTCCCTGGTGTATTGAGCTCCCGTTAAATTGCCCCTGATGGTGACCAAATCCAGCTTGCAGTCATGAGACAGGCATC